ATATATATATATGCATATATTTCTTTCACATATAAGAAACGTGCTTTTATTCATTTTCTAGACAATCTGTGTGATCCTTAGCCACTATTCTTCCAGTCTTAGTTTATACAAAAACCTTGATGATTTTCCTATTTTTGCAAAAAGTCAATTGCAAAAAAAAATTTTATATTAAAACCCTAAAATTTGTAAAATTTGAGTATAAAGAATATTAATGTCTTAAAATTTTTACAGGTAGATAAAGCGAGTGTAGAGGTTTGGCAGGTAATAACTGCTACAAATATTGGAAGCGTTTTGAGACGAGTACCATAAAATGTGTCTAAAAATTAATTTTTACAACACGGATACTCGTCTTTTGTATGACGAGCGATAAATATTAGGTAAAATAGTGGTTATAAATCACATAGATTGTCCGTTTTGCGTTAATTAAACAGTAAAGACGTTCAATATAGGGAGGATTAAAGAAATAACAGAACGAAGAAAGATAAAATTTACAGAACGTTGATACTTTTTACCAGATTTATGTTGCAATTTCAGGGTTAACAAAATATCAAGAAACTTAATTTAGCTACTTTATAGAAATCACTGTTTAGCTTACACCTCGTTCCAATTTCCTCTCTCTCATATCCTTTTTCCACTTCTTAAGTCCGCTTTTCTCCATTCTTCGTCTACGGAAAAACTTAATTGTTTCGTTGTTTTTGATTCTGGGACCGCGAACAAAAAATAATTGTGGTGTATGTGCATAATGATACGTAACTTGTAAAAAATAATAAAAAATAACTACATTTATCCAAACGAGTATGGACACATAGTGTAAAAACTACAAATTTATGCAAATACCATTAGCGTGCTAACTAAAAGCAAAAAGAGGGTAAAGCTCTGTAGAACAGAAAAAAAAAATTATAGCTATTTGTAAATAGAATACTAAAGGTAAAGGATAAAACATACAAAGAAAATAAAATAGACTTTTGCAATTCTTAGTCTTTTTATTTGTTTCACTTAAGCTAGATATTCGATAAAATAGTGATCAATTTACTGTTTGTTGATTATCAGAAATTTCAAGAGCAATTTTTGATAATTGAATATTCTCAACTGTTCATTTTTTTAAGATTACAGAATTTATTAAACTTTAGTTGTTGTTCTGCTCTAATTCAGTAGCCACTGAGTAAAACAGTTTGATTTTTTTTTGAAGAAGAAGAAGGAATTAAAAAACAGTTAGGATGACAAATAAATTTGAATTTAGGTTGCTCAATAAAACTTAATTATTTCTCTATCTAATTCTCCTTCCGAATTTCTATACCTATCTAAGTATTAATAATTAAGAAAGAAAAGTTGTAAAATTTTATCTAAACCTTAACGATAAAAATGGTTTTACAAACAGTTAAACTATGCGATACACTTGGAATTGTTTTTCAATCTTCAGAGAAATAGTAAAGCGTAAGAAATTATAAAAGAAGTTAGAGTTAGAATGATGTGACAAAATTAAAATTGTTTTCATATTCTCTTTTTTGATAACGTGCGGTAGAAAAGACTCAATTATAACAAAAACTTAAGAAACATCAAAGTTTATTTCCCAATTTTGCAGACATACCACAGTTTATGCTTTATGTTTCATAGATGTGGCGAAACAGATAACTAATTGGTTTGCACCAATGCAATAAGCATTTGTTTTCTTGATCTTTTACAGTTTTATAAACTCCAATATTAACTGTTTAAAAGCAAATCTTTTTTTTTCTTAATTTGTTACTGATATTCAAAAGTTATAAAATGTTTTATTTATCACATGAAAAATTATGATTTATAATCATAACTGTTGAATTACAGATACAGAGAGACACAGTTTAAGCTAGAAGTTTAGCTTATTCTTCAACAGCAAATTTTTTGAGTCTTATGTAAAATAAATTTTTTACTGAAAATACTTAAAAAACAATGTTAGTGTTCAAACTCTCATATTTTGTTGATGTATAATGTTCATTTTCTTAAAAAAGTCAATGTTTTATTAAAAAGTAAAAAAATTTTCTAACTTTTTCTTTTTTCTTTTTCTATCATTAGACAGTTCCAAGTCTTTTGTTATGCCAACTACAACTGCAAAAAAAAATATTCTTTGATAAAACCTTTTTTTGGGAATACTTATATACGCCCACATATTGATGCACTTAAACCTAACTAAATACGATCTGATTTTAACTTCAGATAACAACGCTGTCTAATAAACCACTTATTGAGAATTATTTTAGCCTTTTGGGGTTTCAATTATCGTCATAATCGACAATATATAAAGATGACAGCAAGTAGAAAGGAGGAAAAAAAACCTTGTTATTTGAATTATTCC